TGATATAAAAGAGAAGTCCCTTGAAAGCAGAAGATGACATTTCTGCTGGATGTGATAGCATAATCTAGGGGCACAGGTATTTGCACAGCGAATTAATAACTAGGGATTCTGTATGTACAAGACTCTAAGTAGTAGCCTAAAATTGATTTCTAAAACACTGTTACCTAGGAAGCAAAACCATTCCTGCGATAAAGTATGTCTCCGTTTTCTTGAGCCACTTGTCTCACCTTTGCAATGGCTACTGCCTCTTTGCCAGGCGAGAGTGATGAAGGATTGACTTGGTAGCTCTACAGTGCTCTTACTTTCCATCTGTACGGCTGGCTGTTCTTCTGTTCTTCAGCTCAGTCCCCGGTACCATCACGGGATGATTGTATGAGACAGAAGCTGGCCAATTGTCCAGTACAGTAACCACAGTAATATTGACATTTATGTGGTACATGAGACTTTAGTTCTCTTCTTGAGTGCTGCTCAGCATCCATGCTAATAGAGTAATGAATATCCTCCATGCTGTTTCTTCTGCTGGGAGTGGTAGTAGCCATGATCTCCTGCCAGGACCGACTCTGCACTTGGACTTTATGATGTGCTTGGAAAAAAAAAAAGTTAACTGCTTCTGGGGGAGTCACTACTGATATCTGTTCCACCAAATCACTTATTTAGGCACAGCTCCTCTCAGCATTCAAGGTGGGTCTGAAGCCAGCAGTGTCTAGAACTGCTTGTGCTGAATAAGTGATGACACAGCGCAGGTAAAAATGCCAGTGGCTCTTCCCACCTTTCTCTGACATTGTTCGCTACTACAGCGTGGAGTAGCTTCAGCATAAAACCAAATGAGACATCATAATAAGAGCAAATGAGAGCTTGGTGACTAAGACACTGGCTGGGAATATTGTCTTCAAATATTTGCTGGAGGCCATGCTGAAATTCAAGCCCTTATCTCACAAAGCTCAATAAAATGTGTTTGCCATTACTCTACTCACTCACCCTTCAGCGCATCAAAGCGTCTGTCTTTCCCCCTGGAGTGCTTCTCCATTACATTTTATAGGGCCAGACAGAGACACTTGGACTGACTGACTCCATAGCACAACAGTCCCACTACTTAGTATTGCTCCAGCTTGCGGTGAAACTCTGCGGTTCAGGATGACCATATAAAATATACAGGATAGCAAATGACTCCAGAAAAAAAAAAAAAAAAAAGAAAAAAAAAGAAAAAAAATCATTGCACTGAGAAAAGGTGCTAAATTCGATCTCTTCCACCAAAAGGGGAAGATTAAGGTAGAAATAAACCTCATTCCTGCACGCTTCTCAAATCAAGGGAATATCATTAGCCACTTAGTCACAAAAGTTAGATAGTCAGTCCCTTCCTTGGCCTTACTGTGAAGTTAAAAGCCTAAATAGCTTGGAAAGACTTGTTCAACTATAAAGTTCCCCAACTTTTCTCCCCTATAATCTGTACTGCTTTCTTTGAGTATTTCTGTCGTGCACTCTTGGCACTTTGAATATAAATTCAGGAAGCACAGGATCGGAGATTCATATTATCTCTCTCAAAAAAAGCAAAATTTAACATTTACATGTTGCTACAACCTGACTGACAAAGGTTAGTCTTGGTGGACTGATGCAGGGGACATCCTGGGACAGCATGAGCAGCACCCATTTAAATATCTAGCGTGAATCCTCCAACATTGAAAAAAAAGTCCAGTACATCTTTGCTGTATATTTTTGGTCATGCATTCAACAGTATCTTTTATACAAAGATACAAAAGTAATTGTGATGACTGAGGAGAAAACATCTCAGCAAGCAATGCTCTTAATCAGACAACATATTCTGAAAATGTGACTCAGTATCACAGGTAAATCTAGTTTATGTCATGCTACGGGTGACTTGATCTTGGGCTAAAAAAATTAAATACGACTGTTTAAATGCAGCTTCAGGGAGTGCTACATATTTTATCTCGGTTTCATCTGGTTTCCCATAATATCAAAGCTATGTTTAGTGGATAGAGATTTACGACCAGAAAATGATATGTATAGCTGAAGAATGTGAAGGGGTGATGTGCCTTGTAGAATTAGTTATCATTGCTGGGGAAGTAGAGCTGGTTTACAGCTTGCTTTTTCCCTCTCCATCTGGGACTGATCTGTGTCTTTGCGTTGTATATAGGAAATGTTCTCTGCAATTCTCTAAACGTAAAGACTGTGTTTCAGGCACTGTGGTGTAGGAGATTTTGAAAACGTTGACTCATGCCTAGACATTTGTTAGCATGTACATTTTTACAAGTATGTTTTCTTTATCCTGTTTTTTTTTTTAAAAAAAAAAATAAATATATGTGTATATATATATATTTATACCTAGCTACTGCCAACAATAGGACAATTATGAATGCATTTTTCCCTCCTGTTAGCCAAGGCTATGTACAAACTGTATTATTTTGGTTTATTTTTGTGTTTTAATACTGAATACTGCGCAGTGATAGAAATTACGTTGCTGGGAGCAGGACATTCCAGCGAATGTTTAGTGACTAAAAGGCAGACACAAGGCTATGTAGGCATTTTGTTTCATGCTCCCTGTGATTGATAGCTAGGATATCAAATGGATGGTGGTTTTGGAAGAAAGATCAAGGCAATTGCTGGCATCAGGCATTTGCAGGAGGGTTTTTCATATAGCTGGCTGGCAGCTGGTCTTTCAGGGTTTTGAATGGACTTGCCAGTTGTCTGGGCTACATGTAACACAAAATTATTTTTTGATGTGCCGCAGTCATTTGCCTTAGGTAGGTCAATGTTTGGCTTATGTTTTCATTTCACAAGTGTCATCTTTATTTAGGATGGAGCTCTAGAGTGGGACTAAAGGGTGAGTTACATCACTTTCCTTGGCAATTTTTAGTGTTAAAATTGCCTTTTGTTACTTTTACCATTCTTAAAGACAGAGCTGAGAGTTGGCAATTAGATGCATATCTTAAAATATCTTTTACATGTCACTCAGCCTAAAAGCCGAAAGTAAAACAGTCACTAGATATGGTATGTGAGAGCATTCATTAGCACCATTCAGGATCAGGGAACTTTTTTTTTTTTTTTTTTTTTTTTAAAGCTATTTGAGGAACCAAAAGAAAACTGCAAGTAGGCTTCTTGCTGACAAGTTGCAGGTGTATACCACATGCCTATATTGGAAAAAAGATGCGGTTATGAAGGTCTTGATGACAGACAAGGGTCTAAAATGCCTTCATCTCCAGGTTTTAGCTAGTCCATCTGCTTTCTATTTGCATTTCCCCCAGCTAGCAGTGTATTTTCCAAAGTCAGTATAACCACGCACAGGTCTACATGAAATTGCTTTTCTACATTGTAAGATCTTTAGTTTAGTAAGGTCTCATTTAAGTCAGGAAAGCCTTACTTTTATGGTAACTATATCATAACTTGTAAGTCAGTGTTAACATTTTCTTTCTGGAAAAATGAGGGAAAGGAGTGATGAGATTGAGGGGAGAGCACTTTAGTTCTGCTTTGCTAGAATAGGTAGAATTCACTTATGCCTTAAGAGTACCAAACAGGTGAGCGTTTGCATTTGTCTCTCATTGCTACTTCTAGCTAAAAGATCTGATCTTCTTTGATGTTCATCCTCTTGAGGATGAACTCAAGTGGAAATGTTTATTCTTAAGGGAGAAAGACTTACACATACGCCTGGTTACTGCAAACAGCTGCATTCTGGAATAATTCTTCAAAGACTCATAATCAGAGGGCAGAAGTAATGGGGTAGCAGCACTTGGGAAATATCCAAGCACAAAGACAGAGAAGGAAGAAGTTCTCCATCTAAAAGAACAATTTTCAGAGAATTTTCAACAGCCTTCGAGTTTTTAATTTCTGAGAACAATATAATTAAGCCTTGATTTAAAATGTTATTAGAAAAGTAATCAGCCCTCATTGAAAATTAGTCAGTTGAGCTTTTTGTTTGTGGCGAATAATTAACTGCAAGAGTAATTTTGAAAACAATAAAAGGAATACTTTGATTTATTTAAAATGCTGGAGAAAATCAGTTGAGGAAGTGTAAATATAATTTTCCAGAAAGCGCCCAAAATTTATTCTTGTCTTTTTATCTAAAGATATTCCTCAATTATAATTTTGAGGCATGAAAAAAAATCTTTGATTAATTTAATAGGCAGTAAAATTAGATGCAGACAGAGAGCATAGTTGTAGCTGTGTGGGAGTCAGCAGAAAGGGTCCTGGAACATAGCAGTGTGTGGTGATATGTCTCCCTAAAGCATCATGTCTTTTCCTTTTATAGGAAAAAACTTTTCTTACTCTTTCTTTATGGGAGAATACAGTGCTTTCACACCCTATTTTAAAAAGCCCGTTTTCCTGTAAGATAGTGCTGGTTTTGGTGAATATAAGAGAACTGTATATGTGTGTCTCTGCTTGCAGGGAGTTATAGGTGCAAGACAGTTTGTGCTCTGTAATATATTCCATGCTGCATACCATAGGGTGTTGTTTAGCCAGTGGCAGGTTTAAGGAGTGTACTAAGCCCACAAGTGAGGTAAAAGTTATCAAAGTGAAATGCTGACCAGTGACTGTTCACTTCCCAGGAGTCCAGCTGGTGTGGGCCAGTGGGGAGTGGTGCAATTGCAATTGGTGCTTGTACCAATGTGGTGTACATGTTCGCTGTGAGAACAGTGAACTTCCTATCCACCAGTGTGTTGGACAGGTATGAAAGAAAAATTCCTCCTTGGAGTTTAAATTAAAATGTTACCTATTGCAGGGTGTGTTCCAGGATTTTTACTGACTGAGGGTAGTTCTATGGCTCTGTTTATTCATCATTGTGGAGTTTTAAGCTCTTGTCTACGAATCAGAGGCCTGAACCCACAAGAATGAGTTCTCTTGTGACAACACATGTTTGAGGCAAGAAAAGATGAAACCAGGTGTTTTGGTTTTTTTCGTTGGGTGTGGGTTTTTTTTTTTTCCAATGGGCTGCATACATACCTCGTACAAAGGAGTGCTTCACTGTAAACCTTTCTTTTACTCACCAGGCCTATCCTTGTACCAATGATAAGGAATGTGAAGTTGGGCGATACTGTCACAGTCCTCATCAAGCAACGTCTGCATGCATGATGTGCCGGAGGAAGAAGAAGCGTTGCCACAGAGATGGCATGTGTTGCCCTGGGAACCGCTGCAACAATGGTACATCAGTCATTTCTTGATTTTCATACATAAAATCAGCATTTTGATAGCATCTATTTCTCTGAGTGTTCCCAGCAACAGTGTTTTTTTTTTTTTTTCTGGGTGACTACACTACTTTTTCTAAACCAAGAAAACTTAATTTTCTCCTTCATTCTACTCCACATTTTCTTTAATAGTATTTCTATGTTTAAGGCTTGTGTACTACCAGACTTTCTCCCATTTTAGGGTGGGGAAACCCAAAAATTCTGCTGCTGCTGACTGAAATCACAGAACTACATTCAATGTGGTTTGGTTCACTGGAAGACTGCATAGAACCCATATTTTTAAGGGAGCAAAAGAGACTTAGTAAATCCATGATCTACTCTCCCTGGTGGGGGTTGTAACTGTACTGTTTGCATTCCCATACTCTCCTCTGGAGACTGAAGAAAGATGCCTACAAGGCAGTCTCCAGGTGCTCAGACCATAAAGCCAGAGCGACATTGAGACTGTCTGACAGTGAGTGAAGCAGAGCTGTGGTGAAGTTAGGTGCCGGGGATCAGGGACAGAGGTGCGAATAGAGCTGAGCATCACTGAGGCCAAGGCCCAGCACTTTCACGGTCCTGGTCCTTGTTTATGTCTCTTGGTTGCTTTTCCTCTCTTTCTAATCTTTGACTGACTGTCTTTTCCTTGCAGGTATCTGCATACCAGTAACTGAAAGCATCCTTACACCTCACATCCCTGCTCTAGAAGGGCCACGCAACAAAAAGAACGGTCATTATGCTAGCAAGGATTTGGGATGGCAAAACCTAGGGAGGCCACGCTCCAAGCTGTCACACATAAAAGGTAAAATCACATTTGCACAACACTGCTTTGTTCCTTCATGTTATGAATCATGTTATTGCTGTTAAGATACAGCAATGCAAACCAGAAATAGGCAGTAATTTCACAGGAGGTGAATGTCTATTGTGAGAATTCACAGCATGTCTCAAAAAGTGGTGTAACATCAACCAGCAGTTCCTGTGATTGAAATAACATCTGCTTTCTTCTCTGTATCAGAGGTGGACTGATGATCCATTTTTCAGTTGTGCGAGATTGCACATGTCCTCCTCCTGTAAGTCATGTACTTAAGCACTTGTAATTCTGCTTACAATCCTGTAGCTGAATTTCTCCTTATTAAGTCTTATGGCAGGTCTCATTAATTACCCCTCTGAACCTTCCTAATTCATATCTTCCCTTGTGTTTATGGCCTTCAAATAGCCACAGATGGAAATATCATCTCTCCTTTTTCTGAGCTTCATTTGCATCAGTCTGCACTTAATCTGTACTTTCACATTTTCCCATGAGGTAAAATAGTTTGGTTGCTCTTTTTAGGACATGAAGGCGATCCCTGCCTACGGTCATCAGACTGTATTGAGGGACACTGCTGTGCTCGCCATTTCTGGACCAAAATTTGCAAGCCTGTGTTGCATCAGGGGGAGGTGTGCACCAAACAGCGCAAGAAAGGCTCCCATGGACTGGAGATTTTCCAACGATGTGACTGTGCCAAGGGGCTGTCTTGCAAAGTATGGAAAGATGCGACCTCCTCTTCTAAATCAAGACTTCACGTGTGCCAGAAGATCTGAATGAGAATTGGGAAGACAGTATTAAGTGACTGTGGCTTTGTGTATTTAATGCATTATGGTATGGTGGGAAATGAGGACTGCAAATGAAAGCGGAATGGCTAAAGTAACAGTTAGGGTAGGAGTAGAAGTCACACCAAATGCATTTCTCTTTGAGCTGGTGGCAAACACAAGTGCAGCTGCAGTTCCCCTACTGTGCAGCTCTTCTGTAAATAACTTCTACAGTTTGTGGGAAATGCTAGTATGCAAACAAGCACAGTGGAAATTAATGTCACTTACCTTGCTGTGTTGTCCTGTGATGTTTCAGGGGTTCAGCGTCAGGGCTACAGTGAGTTTCCAGCGTGGTGATGACCGCTAAATAAATTGTATACATTGTACTCTTATAAGAAGCAGTGCATGCCAGGAAGACTCATCTGTCAACACATTATTGGCCACATTGCAGGTGTGAGAAGTGGAAATAAAGTGGCTGTGAATGTCCGCACACCCTTGTCATTCAGCAAAGGAAGCACTCCTGCAGGACAAGAGTGCTGTGTTTTGCAAGTCCTCATGAAAGAGATGAAAACTCACCATCTCGCAATTTCAAGACAGCAGCAGTTTCTCTAATAGGAGGCATTTAAACAGGGTTTTCTTTCCTATACATAGGTAAATTGAAATGCTTTAAGTAGTTCAACGTCATAGTATTTGTCTCAGTTTACTGCTAGTATACATTGGGTTGAACAGATGAAGCAAATACGTGCATGCTGAATGCAGAATTATATACAGGCAGTTGCTCATTAGTCCTAAATATACTTTCCTTGCCTAAGCATACTTGCATTATAGACATTTCCAAAAGAAATAGCAGAATGTTGAAGTGCCTGACATGAAGAGCTATGAAGTTGTTCCACTGTTGCTGTTAAAACAGATAACGTAGACATTTGTTGAGGTGTTTAGAGGGTACTGCTACAAACTCAAATCTTTACATTTTATGAGTAGCAACAGGCTACTGATGGCACTCTGCAGAACTATAACAGATACGTTTCTTGAGGCAGCAAAGAAAAATGAGTTGGTTCTTGTGAGCACCTCCTCTCTTGCCAAAAAGGATGTAAGAAGATGGTACGACCGCAAATTACTTGTTAAACATCATGCGATGTCACAGCATACCAGCCTCCGGCATGTATTCAGCCTGAACTTGATGTCCTCTCAGTCTGGACTGTTCTGCCAGTAATGATGGAAGTACATGGACTGTGGAAACAGCTGACAACTCTACATTGTTTGTGTACTGGTTAAAAATTGGACAATTTCTTTCCCTTGACTTGTCTCCCAGGTCTTTTCAAACTTTTTTCCTTTTACTTATTTGCAAGTATTCATTTGTATAGACATTGCTGAAGAGACTTTTATTTCTTTAAAGAAGTCTGATTCTATAATTGACCTACTGCTAAGTTGTGATTACCCATTTGTAATTACTCATTTTCATGTTTTGTAATACAAGGGACTCTTCTGTTTAATCAGTTCTGAACTATTCAGGTAGACCACGATATAGTTTAACTTTGAAGACCTTGTCACCCATACCTGACGTCTTTTTCCACCAGTGGTTGTTTTAATGCTATAGCGTAGCTACACCACCTGACTCAGACTTCCTAATTAGAGCACAGACCTCAGCTGCGTTGCCTTTAGCTTTCATAAGAGGCCAAGTAAGAGAATTTCACATGCCTCTTTCGCTACTAGAGTTAGTTTTTATTGACCTAAAGGGACTGCTCAGAGACAGGGTCTTCTGTTTTTTCATAGTCTCAGTCCAAGTTTTATCTTGCAGTCCTATCATTTGAGCTCTGCTGATTTCAGAGTTTTTCTGTTATAATTAACTGAAACAGGAACAAGGCTCAGAAATAGCATAATTTCAAGATATTAAAAAAGTCCAGAAACCAATTTTGCAAGTGTTATTTACACTGACACAGCACATACTCTGTTGCTCTCATTGTGACTACATATAAAAGAAAATGATATTCAGTGAGAGCAGGGGGGGTTTGCAGCAATGGGCTCTCAGCAAATTTTAGCTCTTCTTATCATTGGCCTGGCATCCTTCCCCCCCAACCCCCCCCCCCCCTTTTCCTCTTGTAAAACATAGTTATTTGGGATAATTTATTTACAGGAAATGTTTAATGAGATGTATTTTCTTATAGAGATATTTCTTACACAAAGCTTTGTAGCAGAATATATTTGCAGGCTGTTGACTTTAATGTAGAAAAATGTATAATAAGATTAAATATATTAAATGTCTTTTCCCATTCCTCCCCAACTATATTACCCATATTCTTTTCCTTACCTGCTGCTTAAGAGTAGTTCTTTCTGGAAAGATATGCAAATATATTGGAAAAAAAACCCCACATATTTTAGCTGTATGAGAAAAAGCATCTGATTGTACCTGTATCTCAAAACACTACATAGGCTGTTTTGGTAAAACACATGAAAGTCATCTTAAAATCCCCATGCGTTGTTTCTGCAAAACTGGTTTAAGTGGCAACTACCTATATGCTTCTTTTGGGACAGTTTACACCTAAACATTGAAGACTAAGTTTTGAAAATAATGGGCCTGGATGCATGATGTTCAATCAACCAGGCTAAATAGGAAAGGTGCCCAGATACATTCCCTGGATAGTGATATGTACCAGAGAGACTCACAGTGGGTAAAGCTGGCATTCAAATTACATAGCATGTTGCTATAGGTTACAGCATACAAACATACTGCTGCAAGATCTGTAACTAGCAATTCTGAAATGGCAGATAACAGCATTCAGCTCTAATAGCATGAAACAATCCATACGACACAACTGAAAGTATCGCTACTAAAACCAGGCAAGTTTGATCCCAGGAAAACCCCTGCAGAGTTCAATAAATATTGCAAAATAATGGCTGTGGTTATTGAGCAATGGCCTCAATATCCGTGTTACTTATTTCTGGTAACTCTTTGCTCAAACAGATGTACATTTGGCACACAGAATGGTCTCCAAGTTGCACTAGTGTTTGTACAAAATGAAAAGGTTTTGCTACTGTTATTTGCAATATTTGGTGGGTAGGCCTTTGAAAATTCTAACACTTTTAGCAACAACATAATAAATTTGTGAGCATGTTCAGAGCCCAGTGACTTCAACAGCGCTTGAGGCTGCCAAACCCTTCAGAGATTTAATCTGGGAACAAAAACAATAGGCACAGGCGGTTCACTGCACACCACAAATAGTGAGCAACATAGCTGGGCTGAATAGCATGCAAGCAGTTTTGCAAGACTGAAGTTTGATTGTTTAGAAGCCATTCAGTTAATATTTTTGGGAAATATACATCAGTTTGAGACTAAACAGCTAAATTTGGGGATAATTGCTCTCACTCACTGTGCCATTCATCAAAGGAATTAAGACTGACTTCGGCTCAGTACCATTTCAGAAATCTGCTGTTGTGACACAAGTACTGAAGAGATTATTGCTGAACAATTCAAATACTCTTCCTATTAGCCTAGAATAGCCTCAGCAGTGCAACATCTCTTTGGAAATACTTAGTAACTTTCCTAAAATAATGGATTTCTATGCTACAACAGCGTATATATGATTTACATACAGTATAAATGTGGGTGTGTATCTATTTCTGTACTATTTGCTTTGTCTTACATTGTTTGCAACCTATAGTATTTATGATTTTAAATGGTTTTTAATGAAGGCAATTAAAATAGATTTATGCACTTACTTGTATAACAGCACTTTCAATAGCATACATCTAGAACCTGACACCTAAAACACAATTCCCTGTCATTCAAGCCATCTTCTGCATATTCCTGACTTTCCTGCTTGTTGTCTCAACAACAGAAAAAAAACCCCAACAACCAAAAACCAACCAACCAACCCTCATAAAACACCATGAACTGTCTTGGGCAGAGGCTGAGAAGAGGCATTCCTATACTATTCCTTGTCACCAACCCACCAGCCCTCTCTGCTTGCGCCTCAGAGCCCTGCATCGTCACCCCCAATAGGAAAGGTAAACACTATCAAAGTAAATTTGTGGTTTTCGTCCCTTCCAGGTTCCCTTCCTTCTAGGAAAGCCACTTAAAATAAGATACCCTGAAGGTAGTAATATTATTACTAAATAAAAAATTATAAGAAAGCCAGCAGAAACACTAAGCTGATAGATACCTCTAAGCCAATGCTTTTACAAGTCTTGCTATCTATCCTCTAACTTTCAAAAACTTAATTGCTAAGAGAGTTATGTAGATAGTAAGACATTTATAAAAAATAAAGAACCCTAGCTCTTTGGATTGTCAGTCAAGTATTCTGAAAATAACTGTCCACAGTGGAGAGGGGAAAGCAAACAATTCCTCCTCCAACCAACCTCATCTGTAGTCCTTGACAAAGGGAATGCGTGATGGTTTTTTGCACTAGGCAGTTTCACTCCACACAAAGCTGTCATTAGTTTTGTTTTAAAATCACACTAATAATAAAGTTATGCTTTCTTACCTTGCTCACCAGTCTAATGTATGGCATATCTTACTGATACTGCATTAGACAGGAGTGAAGCAACAGTTAGTCTAGAGGTTTGCACTCCCTCATTTAAATCATGACGTTTCACTGAGATGAACAGACACTTTCTGTGCAAGTCCCTTATTATCTAATACAGTTTTTAACATGCCCAAAGAGCGCTTACAGTTCAACACAGACTCTACACCCATTCTTACCTTGTGTTTTACCTTCAACATGGTATGACTGTTGTCAGTTGCTGAAATGTGGCAAATGTCTGCTGCAGCCCCCTGTTACCATACTGCTCTGCCAGCTCTTTACAAACCTGCTTAAGGCAGCAACGCAGGAGGTAACAAGAAAGCACAGAAAATGGTGTGTGGGAGGGAGGGTGGACCGGAGAGAGCCAGCCAGAAGCTTGAAATGGTGGAGAGAGGAGGAAACCCCCCTCAAAATTCAATTAGATGTTACTGCAAAAAACCATGAATGTTCATTGTAGCCCACCCAGTTACTGAGGAGGAAGAGCAAACGTGC